GCCTTCCCCTTGGTCTTCTCCAGCCTGGGTCAACCCTCTCGGAGATGACCCTATGAGCCGGATCTTCCTCAGGGAAACGGGCCACATGTCCATAGAGCTGAAGCTGGCGCTCTCGTATCAGACTGGTAATAGGTCTTGAATCAGTCTCATGGAGTATCCTCTGATTGGACACATGGTCCCTCCAGGTATACCCCATGATTCTGCGAAGACACTTAGTACCAAAGGAGTTAAGACGGGGCTTTCAGAGCACTGTTCAGTGTCCAGGTCTCACACCCGTAGAGCAAGACCGGGATCACTAGTGCTCTGAGGAGCCTGATCTTAGTTCTCCTAGTCAAATACCGACAGCGCCAAATACTCCTATTGAGTGAGTCCATAACGCCGTAGGCCAGTCCGAGTCGTCGAGTGACTTCCCGGTCGGAACCTCCGTCGCTCTGCACTACACTACCAAGATAAGTGAAGCTATCCAAGACCTCAATGTTCTCGCCACAGGCATGCACAGACATCCAAAAAGTCCCCAAATTCCTGAACCTTGGTCTTGGTCCAGTTGACCGCGAGTCCCAATGGCTTTGCCTCCTCATGCAGCGCCTCGAGAGCTACTTCCAGGACCTCTAATGTCTCCGCTAGAATCACTGCATCATCGGCAAAGTCAAGGTCTGTGACCTTGAAATTACCAATTGATGCCCCACCGGAACTATGGTTCACGGTACGGGCCAAGTATCCAGTCCATACAAGTGTTGAAAAGGGTTGGGGCCAGGACACATCCCTGTCTCACCCCGGCAGACACCGGGAAGAAGGCAGAGATGCCCTCCCCACACTTGACAGCACTCTCAGTATCTGTATACAGGCCAGACAGCAAACCAATAATTCCAGGGGGGATCCCACGGAGACCCAGTAGGCTCCAGAGACTCTCCCGGTGCACTGAGTCGAAAGCCTTCTTGAGATCAACATAAGCTGCAAACATACCCTGTTGAAACTCAAGTCGGCGTTCCACAAGGACACGAAGTGCTAAGACACGGTCTATAGTTGACTTCTTGGGTGTAAAACCAGACTGCTCAGGTCTCTGTGCTCGTAATAGGTGGTCGCGCACTTGTGCCAGAAGCAGATGAGCGAGGACCTTGTCTGGTACGCTGAGCAATGTAATACCTCTGTAGTTGCCACAGTCCTTTTGGTCCCCTTTCCCTTTCCAGATAGGGATGACCAAGCCCCTTTTCCAGTCAGGGGGAATGGTACCAGTCTCCCAAACGGCAGACAGGACTGCATGCAAACCACAGATCATGGCTTCTCCACCCGCCTTCAACAACTCTGCAGCAATCCCACAGACACCAGCAGCCTTTCCACTTTTCAGCTTAGACACTGCCCTTCTCACCTCTTCGATGGATGGTGGTGTCTCACTGATTGGTGGATCAGCCACTAGTGGCTGTGTGCCAGCCAACGGTAGTTGTGAAGACGGGGGATCTACCCTATACAGTTGCTCGAAGTACTCAGCCCAGCGAGCCCTATACTCACCAGGGTCTGACACAATGCGACCATCCTCTGCTCTCACTAAGCCCGATTGAGAGATGGACTTTGATCGGAGTTCCCTCAGGGCTCGGAAAGCAGGTCGAAGGTCATTTTGGGCAAAATGACCTTCCAACTCTTCCACAATGCCCCTAACGTACCTCTCTTGGTCCACTCTCAAAGAGGCCCTAGCAGACCGAGACAGCTCCCTGTGCAAGACATGGTTCCCATCCAGTCTGGCAGTAAGACTCATCTCTATAGTGTTCAGTGTCACGTCTGAGACAACACACTTCCTTCGCCGAGGTCGGACACCAAGTCACTCCTCGGCAGCTAACAGAGTTCCTCGCTTAAAGGTATCCCACAGTTCAGCAGGGTCCTGTAGAGTACCAAGCACTTCAAACCGATTTGAGACTGCCACTGCATACTCCTGAGCCACCTCCTCACTCTTGAGCCTGCTAGTGAGATCTCGGGATGCGTCTAGATCTGAGGCGGAGCCTTAGTGTTGCGACAACAAGTCTGTGGTCGGTAGCAAAGAACTCAGCACTACTAAAAACTCTACAGTTCTGAAGGATCCTCCAGCGAGTATCCACGAGAATATGGTCGATCTCTTTAGCTACAACGCCAGTATTGGAGTACCAAGTCCAGCGGTGTAGATCTCGTCTCTGGTACCACGAGCCCGAAATCCTCAGCCTCCTAGATCTTGCGAAGTCTAAGAGGTATGAGCTATTGATGTTCCTAGTACCAGAGCCATAGGGACCGATGCATAGCTCGTATCCTTCCCTGTCAGTGCCAGTGACTGCTTTGAAGTCCCCCAAGACCATGAGGGTGTCCCCCCGGGGACATTGATCCACTATAGAGTCAAGTTTGGCGTAGAACATCTCTTTCTCTTCAAGCCCACTTCCCTCAGCAGGAGCGTAAATTGCAATTAGAGATATGAAGCCCAAAGTGTGCTTCATTCTCACAAGCAGAATACGCTCGTCAACAGGGGTAACCTTCTTGACTGAGGAACGGAAGCGGTCAGAGACAGCCACCGCGACTCCCCTAAGGCACGCACCATTGCTACAGCCAGACCAGTAGTAGGTATAACCCCCACTACTGGTCTCACCACAACCTGGCCGTCGCACCTCAGAGTTTACCACAAATCTTGTTATATGTTCATTGATCATCATTTCGAAATATTTTTTTTTTCCTTTCTCCTTTCCAGTCTTTGTGATGACCTTCTGGAGCTGAACAGGAAAATGTTTCCTGATTCCGCCATCGCAGCCCAGATGGCCATCAAAAGGAAGAAGTGTTCTCAAATTACCAAGGATTTAGGGGAGTTCCTAGGTAAAGAATTGGCAAGCAAACTCAAAACAAATAAATTCAGTTTGATTATTGATGAGACAACAGACTGCTCCACCGACAAGGCATGTGCCTTGGTTGTCAAGTATTTTGACAAAGAGACAAATAAAATTCAAACCGCCATGCTAGACCTCATCAATGTTCATGATGGAAATGATGGGTCATCTGGAGAGTCATTATTTAAATTAATCCTTAACTCCCTTCATACATATGAAATCCCCATTAACAATATGGTTGGCTTTGCTGCTGATGGAGCATCCAATATTATGGGAGCTGTAAATAGTGTGAGCAGTAGGTTGAAGGCACAGATGCCTGGCATGACCGTTTTTAAATGTGTGGCTCACAGCATACATTTATGCTCCAGCGAAGCGGCAAAAACACTTCCCAGAAATTGTGAGGATTTGATTAGAAATGTTTACAACTTTTTCTGCCACAGTGCCAAAAGGAAATATGAATTTAAGAATTACTAGGCATTTTGTGGTGTCAAGCCTCATAAGCTTTTGCATCCATGTGCAACAAGATGGCTTTCCTTAGCACAAGCTGTAGAACGGGTGCTTGAGCAGTGGCAGCCACTTAAACTATATTTCAATGGCATTCGTCTGGATGAAAGATTGGCATCGGTGGATAAAATTTGCGAGGCCCTTGATAACAAGGCAATTTATTGTTACTTAAGGTTTTTAAATTACATTTTACCACACTTAAACAAGGTAAATTTGTTATTCCAGTCAAGAGGTCCAACTCTACATTTGGCTCACGAAATTATTTCAAATTTGTATTTGAGACTTCTTAATTATTTTTGTCAGCCACAATCAATACAAGGAATAAAACTCAATAAAGCAGATCCATCGGACCCATCAATACATTTGCCAGTCCAACAAATATACCTCGGCGAGGATATCCACAGCCTCTTCCAGACCCCTCAATACCAGAACCATCAATTAATGACCGAAATAAAAACCACGTACAGAGCCTTTCTAATAACAGTCTGTGACCAAATCAGAAAAAAGGTTTGATCTTGGAAATTCATTATGGATAATGGCATCGTACCTACAGCCCAAAAACATAATGAATACGAATATAAGACCTACAGTGCCATCTTTGACACAACTGGCTAAAGAAGTCCCAAGAATCAATAATTATAATATGCAGGCACTCGCAGACCAGTGGCGAGATATAGCATGGGAAATGTTTCCCGAACAATATAAAGATCCGAAATGTGAAATTGAAGCCTTCTATAAATATGTTTCAACAATTAAAGACTCATTGGGCAATTTAAAATATGAATGCCTCGCGCATTTTGCCCTTGAAATTCTCGCACTCCCAATGGCAAACACCGATGTAGAAAGACTGTTTTCTAAATTTAATTTAATAAAAAGAAAAGAAAGGTCCAGTTTGAAATTAGAAACTATTAAATCACTTATTCATTTAAGTGAATATGCAAAACAAAAAGGAACAAAACCACACGAAGATATGATTTCCCTGATTTGAGATATCTTTCAAAAATGTTTGTATATATATATATATATATATATATATATATATATATATATATTGTTGTTGTTGTTGAAGTTTGTGTTTCAAGGTTTATTTTGTTGTTATTTTTTAATAATAAACCGATAAATTCATATTTGTTTCTACTATACTAGTTTCCCCGGAAATATATCCCATTTTCTTTTTTTCCAATCATAGAAAACGGCGTAAATGACGCATCCGAGAAATTGCCATCCCTGTGAGTTTGCAAACGTGCCCCAATTTTGGACGGATGGTATTTAAACAATGACGTAAATTAGCACAATGCTTCTCCCAATCGTTGGTACTTTCCTTGCTCTACGGAAGGCGGCTAAAAAAAGCGGTTTCAAAACCCCCGCACCAAAAGCCACTTGGCTCTCACGTCGTACTCCTCTTCTGCTCCCAAGATAAACGGTCGTGCATCAGGTGGGCTGTCGCCGACTGGACCTGCGGGAGCTCTGTTAAGAAGCAATAGCCAACAGCTGCGGGCAACCAGTATAGTCATCATATATTAGTTGAAAGAAAAAGTGAAAACATAAAAAATTTACAAGCCCAACCCAAACCTAACCTCTCCTTTCCTTTTATTCCCTCTACCCCCCCCCCCCCTCTAGCTATACCTGTGTTATTTATGACTGTTTCTTATGCTCTAAGACAACAATACCCATTTCCCACTCTCTGCGTTAACATTAACTACATCGTGTATTAGGGAAGTTTTGATGTAACTGTAAGTGATGATTTTGTGAAAAATGACACTCGGCGTAAAGCAAGAAGAATAACATAGAGTGTTATTGAAACTGGGTGACCAGAAATTTCATTAAGGTGCATATTCTTTGGTGAAGAAAAAATAATCAGTTGAGAAACTTGGGAAATCTGTCTAATTTCCTTCACAGTGGAGCTAAGCCCCACCCTATTGCTAGGTTTTGTATACACTGCTGATGTCCATAGATGTTGATGCTGCAGAAAATTTTCAATAAATAAATATGTAGTAAGTTGGATATGGGTGACATGGATGTCTTGTCATGAAAAATGGTGTAGATGAGGTGAACATGTCATGAGTGCACACAGTGCTCAGAGCGAAATTAACACAGCAGGCCTTCACAAAAGGGCTTGTTCGCAAGCTTCAGCAGGAATTTCCATCTGATAACTATGCCTGGGAAAGGGCTGCTTCCAGGATGGACACCATGTTAATTTGTTTATTATTATTATTATATATTTGTATATGTATTATATATGTATATGTGTGTGTGTATGTATATATGTACATGTGTAAATATGATATATATATATATATATATATATATATATATATATATATATAATGTATGTATGTATGTATGTATGTATATATATATATTATATGTATGTATATGTGTATATATATGTATATTCATATGTGTATATATGTATTTATGTATATGTATATATGTATATGTATGGACATAAAAAAATTAACTTGAAATTCAGGCCTTATTTGGGGCTGGAAGAACAAACAAACTAGGGAGCTAGCAGTTTATAGGAAATCATATATCAAAGGATATGATATGAGTTGACTAGATATGTTCATCAGTCTTAGAATTATTAACTTAGTGACTGCATCTCAAGTTTGTAAAAATAAGTTTTAAGTTATGTGGCAAATCTTTTCAACAATGTATTCATTGTACCTGAAAACTTACATGCGCATTTTGTAGTGTATCATCAGTCTTTATTTTATACAAACATCATTCCAAACTATGGTAATTGGAAGTACACGAGTTATTAGTTCCAATATCCTTCATAGTTTTTCTCTGCTTTCTTTCTCTCTCAGTGTAGCTAGTGAAGAGAGGATTAAAAAAAAATAGTTTGAACCTGTGAATATTATTTTTCATCAATAGAGATAAGAGTTCTTTTTTCACTCTCATGAGGCCCCTATCTTCTTTCACCATGAATAATGAAAAATATCTGTAGAGATGGAAATGTAATAGAGTAACTCAGGCAGTAATATCTGTCTTTAAAATAATTTTGATAATTCCTATATGTACAGAAAGCATTTCTTATATCAGCAGTATTGTGAGTGTTATATTTCAAGATTACCATGATTACCATAAAAATGATTGCAGATTTTGTAATTCAGGAAAGGCAGATCCTAGCTGAATGCTGTGCTCTGTTGTAACAAGATGCAGATTTATGGGGATATCAAGCCCATAAGGTGGAGACAAACTACATTTTCATATGGCACAAC